ATCAATACTTTTCATGAAACTACCAACTATACTCTTTCACATGACACATGACTTAGCCCTATTGACAATTTGGTCTAATAGAGTCTACAACTTCCCACTAGCATAACCAGTGAATTATGCCGACTTTGGCAACAGGTTTTCAGGGTTTTTCTTTACGAATGAATGATACTAAGTTACCCACAACTGCAAGGATGTACGCAAGACATTAATGGATGGCTAATAAATGATCTTTCATGATGCAACAATCTGTGACAGGTGGTTTTAGAGGACTCATGTAGGTGCTTTAATACAAGCGCTGCAGTGTCCACAGTGAGCCGTGGGAACTTTCATGCTCTTTGTTTAAATACTTGAACAAGACCCAAATGATCATGCTGATGACCGCACAAGGACACATTCAGATAATTTTTGGGAGGGGGTCTAAGGCTGCACCCAAATCTGTTGTGCAGAGCTAGGTCTAGGTCTTCATTTTATTGGAAATGTGCGGAGAAGCACAGACAATAGACCTAGCTGTAGCTAAGTGGAAGCCACTTTCAGACAAGGCCCAAGTTCAGTGTTTTATATCTATCCAAAATAGGACAAATGCATCTGATTTTTTCATCCGGATTCCGGTTTTTTTTTCACAGTAGATGAAAGGAATTATCTACAAAGTTTGAATTACACTTATGATAAAAATTACTTCCTTTCAAGAAAGTACATGTAAAGACTCTAAAATGGTGTCTGGTTTATCAAGAGGCATGAGCCTTTAATTTCTTAACAAAATTATGGTAGCCATACCAAGGCAGCCATTCAGGCTGGAGAGAAAGCAGCCGCAGTCGGCCAGGAGCGAAGCACGGCGGTCAGAGACCAAAGCCAGCCGCTCCCGGGGCTCACAGACAACACTTACACCACCACCATTCCTTTGGTGAGTTGAAGGAGACAAGACCAAAGTAGGAGCAGTGGGGAGGAGAACAATAAATGGTGATAACGACAATAAATTAGGCAAGGAAATCACCAACAAGACACGGACAAGGAAGGAACGGGGCGGGGGGAAATGATACAAACATGGTTAGAGTATTATGAACTACTCTATTCTGTACAACCACGACCTTGGAAACATCTTTCCTTGGAAGATTAACCCTACATACATGTGCATGTATATTACAAAACTTTACATTAGTATGGGTTCATCGCACAAATGGGTAAGCATACAGGGTTAATAAATTGCAAATGACCACTGTGCCATATGCATCTTAAAGGTCATGAGATACATGTAGCATATTGGTGACTTTGCCTTTGTATTGTAAACTTGAAGCGTGTGGGGCACAGTAATTAAGAGCCACTGAAATTCTTGTTTTTCTTGTATTTCCGCATTCACTTTCCCCCAAAATTGTCACATTGGCCAAGGTCAACGGGAGAAAAAATGCAAGAGCAAATGAAGAGGGTACAATATTCCAAGTTGAGCAATTTGGAATCTGATATATCTTTGTTGACAAAAGGTGGGTGATTTCAACAAAGTTATTGAAAAGGACACAAAATTAATCACCCAAGGTCGTGGCTGTACACATTTGTCAACATATGTAAGGATGAAGCTTCACCAAAAATGACCCTGATTATCAATGTAGCAGTGGTGCAGTGTGAAATGCTCCTTGTCCACCCAATCTGTCTCAGCAACAACTCCTAATAACAGTCTTGAATCATCCAGAGTCAAAATGAGTTTTCACACACCCCTAGTATTGGAGCTGGAGGTAATGCATCATGACTTAATGTCTCTTCAAGGGATGGCATTATTTGATTTTTTATTCAGCAAGTGGGTGAAAAATGTGTAGTTTTGCATAGCAGATATGGCAGAAGCACTTCAATCTGAACACAGCACAATTTTTCAATGCACATCTATTCAGAAGGTCATTCATCCCTTGAAACACAAAGTCTAAATTACTGAAATGCCTTTCTTACAAGATGTACTTCCTGACTACACCATGTAAATGCACACTTGGGTCAACTAATGCTGTCCATGAGTTTCCCACCACCACACCAGTGCAATGTGAAAGTTGCTGAAACTGCATGCTGCATTCAACTTCCAATTGACAAAGTAATTTCCTCTATGACCACGACTGGGAAGTTCAATGTATGACTTAAACCTTTCTGCCCTTTTGTTTTTTGTCTTGGAGAGGGTGTCAATTGTCAAGTATACCACGTACAGCAAAAGTGGAAAAATTTGAAAATTCCATGTCTATCAAAGAGCATTATGATCACTGGCTCAATGCACATGGCTGACTTGCTCATTCAGACATAATTTCTCTTTGTTGATTTCTTACCCCACCTGAGGGAAACGGTCGGTGTGGCGGCCTTGTGGGAATAATGACCAAGGTAGTACATGTGTACCTACAGGTGGTACGGTACCCATGAGGCAAGTCATGCATAAACTTCAACAGAAGTCTGTTCTCCCCATCGCCCCCACCAGCTTTGTACTCCACAGTTCAACAGCGTTTTCACTGTAATGCCTGAATGCCTAATTGCAAGTCTTAGCTGACACTTTGGTGATAGGTTCCACTGAACAAGTGCATTCCGCAAGTGATTTTTATGCACGTATACACAAGGACTGTGCTATTTATAGACCCAGCTCAGCAGGTTTTTTTTATTGAAACCATAAAAGCTTTTCCACCCTTTTATGCCTTTCTGAAGATTTTGCTGGCTTTGGGCTCAGGGAATTAGAATCAGTATGCAACAAACTGTGAAAAACAGACTTCTGTTTGTGCCAAAAACCATCTTAAAAGTATGCAGGGATACACAGCAAGAGAGTGTTCCCACCTCATCTGCTTGGTTGGCAGTTGAGGTAAAATCTGGAAAGACTAGCCCATGGCATAAGGCAGGATACTTTTAAGTTGGTTGCTTCAATCACCTTACCAACCAAGGCAACCTGGTCTCTCACTGTACAGCTTTTAGAGTCTGCTTTCATGGAGCTGCTGAGTTTGCAAAGAATTTTTTCTGCTAAGCCAAAAAAGGGGATGAAGAAGCCAGTCACAAGCAATGCAATACTGTGATTTTAGCTGGTAGCCTGTAACTGGTCAGTGCTAAGCAAAATCTGCACACCTTTGAAGCAAATTTGTACACTCAGCAACTCAAATGAAACTAGGCACAGGTGACTTGTGAGCCGTACAGTAAAAAGGCCAGGCGGTTTCGGGTGGTAGAGCAATTACAGGGTTAACAAGAAGGCCCGCTCAGAAGGCTAAGTACCCTACCATAGCACCCATTTAGTGAGGACAGAAAGTCCCCGTAATCATAGAACAACTTTGAGCGGGTCTGCGGGTCCAGGTGTTCCCCGTGCCGTGGCTGCTGCACCACCCCTTTCCCTCCGCCGGCCCTGTGGTTCAATGGTGGCAAAATGGTGAGGCAGGGAAAAAAGAACCAAAAACAAAAAATGGGAGAGGTAAGGAAGGGTAACATGGAGTTTGCATAAATGCTGTGCAGTGTTTCTGTGAATGAAGCACAAAATAAACTAAAAGGAGGGATTTTAATCTAGTTTAATATGTGAACAGTTTTAAATCAAGAGAAAAAAGAGAAAAATATTTTAAAGGTTAAAATAAGTAGTAAAAATAGTAAAAAATAGTCAACTAGTAAAAATGCTATGCTGTTTATGTTACTTCAAAGTGTTTTTCTTCAGTTGATTTTATGCTAAGCAGGCAAAGTTGCTTAGTGATACATGTATTTTCTCCTTAGCGCCTCAGTGATATTGGGTCATCCCTAAGTGTGGTTTTAAATGGACAACTTTAAGGCAACGTTCAAGCTTCAAGATTTTTCTTAATCTTTTCAGATTGCTAATTGCAAGGGGGTTCTGGGTTTTTTCATTATTCAGACTCTTGAAATGCTTACATTTTTCACGAAACTGGACAAAAATGAAAGTACGTAGAAACTGTATGTCAGACGGCATTTTTTTTCTCTTTTCAGGGAAGGGGTGGAAGATGGAATGAATTAGGGTAACTTGGGGGTAAGGTGAGGGTTCAGGGACCATTCTAGGAAGCTGCTTCACACAAACGAGGAGAAATAATATTTACATTCAGGAAGGACTTAACTGGCATGTTATAAATTTAGAAGCAAGCCAATATTAGCTAACTCATGGTAATGGGTTTTGCAAAGAACGTGCTTAGCCTGCATGTATGTACATGTATGTACAGTGTACTCATTGCTCTGATGAATGGGCACTGTGTACGAAACATCGCAGTGCTTATTAATTATGAAAACAGCCAGGCAAAATTTTCGAGCAGCGACTGATTAATGGAGCGTTTCAGCACTCTGAAAGCCTGAAATGTTCCACTGAGATCAGGCCTATTCTGATTAGGGATGCACGCAGTGTCCGCCAGCCATGGAACAGGGGTGAAGTCAGTCTTACACTTGGGGGGGGGTTAACAATCCCAGTGGAACCTGTCCAAAGGGCATGGACCTTTTTAGGTCATTAGACGATGCACCGAGAAGGAAGTGCTTTTACGATTTTGACCAATCATGTGCATTGACGTTACAAAGGAATGCAACTACATGGCAGTGGTGGCTTCAAGCAGAAGAAAATAAAATTGGGGTAAAGTACATACCATCAAGGTCCACAGCAGTTCATTGGTACCCCCTAACCCACCAAACCTCAACCCATGTTCAGCAAAATATGTTCCTGTAGTGAAAACTTGTCTTTGCCCACTAACATCAATTTGGGGATAGGCCATTTCAATGCCTGTTCTCACTTAAACGTTCTGAGGCGATCCCTAACAGTGCCTCATCACTAATGTCCCATAGCATAAAAAAACATGCCCTGGCAAAAAGCCCTGTTCTTTAAAGCAACATACACGCACATGTATATGTAATGCAGTTATTTTGTGACTTAATTCTGTTGCCAATTGCTCCATTTCTTGAGGGTAATTTTCTTCTGTACACATTTACTTGGAAAAATTCCTACAAACTGAAAGCCAAGGAAATTTACGTCGCACTTGTATAAGACTTCAGGACTGCGATCAAATGGAGATGTCTCAGAGAAAGTGCCAAGTCATGTGCAAATTGAATGGCTATGGCTGGAAATAACACCTGGGTTTGTTCTGCAGTACTACATGTACATGTACATTGAATATCCAAATGCTTATTCAAACACAAATGAGTGGCTATGGCATCACCCTCTTACAGCAAACCCAGAGCAGGTGTTAGCAAGCAAAGAATGGATTTACCATAGACCAGCCAGGGCTGACTTGACACCCATCCCTTGGCCAAGTCTGAGTCCATCCCTCAGGTACTGCTCCATGGTAGTGTAGTCCCACAGTCGGATACCCCCACACTAAGTCAATAAAATTAGAGGTAAAATGAACAATTGCATGCAAGTCTAGCTGAACCTCATGGCTACTGTACCTAGCCCCTTAGTCCGAGTAACTAGGACTCCACGAATCACCTCTTTTTAATCTGCATGTACATAGTCAAGCCGACTATGTCCAAACTTACAAGGGGGGTTCGTAGAGACTTAGTTGTTCCATGGAGGTACAGGTTGCATGGCAATTGACTAACTCATAAGGTGGCTTATAATGGATTAGTACACGTACTTCTGTGAATCACATTGTGGAGCTGACGGCTATGACTTTGGCAATTGCAGAGGGTGACTTCTCCAGCATTTAATTACAACCTCAGTTACACAATGGGCGAAGTGAAAAGGTACATGTAAGGATTGCAGTCAGAAATGGCTGTTGACAAAATCCTACTTCCACAAAAGTAAGGTTTATATTCCGCAGACCTTATTGCACTCCACCTTTTTGATGGTTCTGCAGGCAATGGCATTTTGAAATCTACCAAGTCATCCTACCAGATAAAACATCTGTTTGCACTTGCTAAGCAAATCTTCCCCTGAAGACCTTATTAATAATAGCTAACCTACATTTCTGTATATGGAACTACCATCGTCGAGTGTATTTTGTAGCATTTACCTACATTAATGGCAAAAAATGAGTTTTTTTCTACCATCCTCATCTCTCATCCCTCGACGATCCGCACACATCTGCATTCTCTTGTAGCCGTACATCACGTGACAAAATATGCGCAGCTTATTTGCGTAACAAACGTTTATGTTGCTTTGGATACCAGTCCTGACAATTCCGACTACTTCCCTTAAGGCAATGTATAGGGACATCTGGAAATCTGTGGTCAGGGAACCACACTAATCACATATTGGCTTGACCATTTTGGAAGCGGAGCGGCGGCAATGGGGGGAGGCAGCAATGTCAGGCCGCACTATACACGCTGCGCTATCAAGCTAGCTCTGTTTACGCATGTTTAAAATATTGAGAAATTATGTACTTCAGGGAGCGATATTTTACGAAGATACGGTTGTGAAGTTGTGAGACTAATAAAGTGTGTGTTTTCCACGTAATCCGGGGATTTGTTTATTGCAACATGGTGGAGCTGAATGTGATTAGTGTGGTTTCATGATCACAGATTTCTCAGACATCTCTATACATAACCTTAACGAGAGTAGTCGGAATTATCATGACTGGTATCCAAAGCAGCATGCATGTAAGCGTTTGTTACGCGAATACGCTGAGCCTGTTTTTGTCATGTGACGTACAGCCACAACAGAATGCAAATGTGTGTGGATCGTCGATGAGAGGCGAGGATGGTGGAAAAAAATCTTTTTTTGCCAATAATATAGGTTAAACGCTACAAAATACACTCAATAACAGTACTAGTTCCATATAGGTTAGCTATTACTAATAGGGTCTTTCGTTTCTTTTGGGGAAGATTTGCTTAAGCAAGCGCAAACGGATGTTTTATCTGGTAGGATGACTGGGCAGCTTTCAAAATGCCATAGCGTGCGGAACCATCTAAAAGGTGGAGTGCAGTAAGGTCCATGGAGTAGTGCCTTACTGTTCAGGAAGTAACAAAATCCCATTTCAAAAGGCAATCATTTCAAATGATTTAATTTTAATCTTACAGCCTGTCCCCTGTTTGTCCTCCAGATGAACGCACCGAGGAGGCACCCAGAGCGGGCACCAACCTCCATGAACACAGCCTCGTGCTTGTCATAATCCACCCGGTCCTCTCGGGCGAAGCGGGCCAGTTCTTCCAGCTCTGGGTGAGACACCCTCACTTCCCCGGCACTGGTGTCGTACACCACGAAACAACGCCGGATTTTCTTCTCCTTCAGAAAGTCTACGAAATCGTTCGGCTGGGTCTCCAGCAGGGACGTGGTCGATCCGTCCGAGTCTTGTGTTTCAGCCCATGAGGGTTGGGAAAGGGACAGGCGTCGTTCAGGTGTGTATGTCCGGAAATTCGAACCACGAAAAATTTGATGGCGACTGAAAGTTGAACCCCGCCGATGAGGGGCTGCGCTCATCAACGTGCTCAATGATGAATCACCGCGGAAGGCACCGGCGTTTTTGCTGACACTGGTCAACCATCTTTTGGTGAACAGGTTTCCTGAGCTGACACCGGTCATGAGCTGCCTGGAAAGAGTTTGAAGGCTAGAGTAATACATGCTTGTCCAAATGTCGGCTAAACTTATTTGATAAATGATTCGATGTGTACGTGTAATCACCGCAGGAAATTGACGAGATAATCAATCGTCGTGATGTACGGATCTGGGATCATGCGCGTGTAGTAGACGTGTCTCGGGCCGGGTACGTGCGTGTATATATACTGTACATGTACATGTGCACGTACGTGGACAGCCTGGACGTCGTGCATTTTGTGCGTGGTGCAGCATGCATACAGCAGAACACAGTAGCAGCACCAGACCACGTTTCGTAGGCTTTTTTGTGGGCGTTGTCTAGAGGGCGATATTTCTCAAAGTCTGATTGTAATCAGTACTGTACTTTATAACAAAACAGCGTAAGCTCGATCAACGACTGTCAACCAACGGTCAATTTTGACCGGCAACCTATGCATTAAATATACACCAGTGGTTAAAAAGTTGTTTCTGATCGAACCTTCCCATCAATGTCAATCTCGGGGGGGGCAAACAGGGAAACCCATTTTTGTAAGGGGCACAGAACACCTTTACCGTGGCTTGCAAAATATTTTCAACAGTAAAACGGGTGGCAAGGCGTCATTACAACCAAATGCATAATCCAAGGCTTTATGAGGAGCCCTGCACCCTATGCTGACTCAACCCCCCAACACCCACACACACCACACCTTCGAATTTACGGAGGTCGAGTGACCAAGGGAAATGCTGCATGTCCAATCTTTCGTCAAAGGATGCAATCGAAATGACCTTTCATTAATTGAGCAGGTGTACAAATGCACGGCTTCGCAATTGAGGAGCAGTCAAGTCTACAGTAACCCTTACAACCATCTCCACATTAAAAAAAATCATCATTAAGCGAATTATCATTCCGCCAATAATTATCATTAATCACAGCTGTCGTCGCTTTGTGTTTCATCTCATCACATGCAATCGGCACTCGCTTACAGACAGACACGGCGGAGTATGTGATATTCCTGCCATTTTTCCTGTTGGGTAGGGGACGTACATTCCTGTTTTCAAGGAACGTTACTTGTGCCCTCTAATTGTGACAACAGTGACATCCTTTAAATAAATCTTAAAATAAACTAAAGTAAACCCTAAATCGAGATCAAGAATTCATCTTTTTGACCTGCTTTATTCGAGTTTACCTTAGACGATGTGACATCGTATTGTTTAAAGCATAACAAATCAGATCAGATCTAAACGAGAACAAATGACCCTTTACGTTATATGAAGATATTGAAAATACATACACTTTAAAGTTCATATGACAAGTTTTATTTTGTGCTAACAACTACGTGAAAGAGTGCAAGTTAAGCTGGAAGAGAATCTTCTACTAAATTTACAGGGTGTGCACTATTTTTCAATAGTAAAAAAGTTACAGGCTTCCACATGGTCATAATATATGGTAACTCCTGAAAGTGAAGGCAAACAGGGAAACAAAAGTTCATTCCCATTAAAACTGCTAATGACATATCAATTTAACATAAATATTATATCTAATGCATGAGCATTTAAAACTTAACTAATACGTTTATGAAATACTAAGAAGCATCAAAAACTTGATTCCAAGCAGACCTCCTCTGTGTTTTAAACTCCCCATTGAAAAAAGAGTCCACTTTTTTCGCATGCAAAAATCATGCCGCTGTTGAATGCCAAACCATGAGTAAGTGAGACACACACGTAAAATAGTCACTTCAATCAACTCCCACTGGTGTGCACAAACAAACGGAGCCAGAAAGCTGTATTCTCCATCAAGACCCAATATATTACTTCAAGGGGGGGGGCATGTCACAATAACAACTAAATCGGGGCCTACTGCCATCCCTTCAGGTTTCCCTCGATGTGTCACACGAGGTAGCCACGGGGAGTGTACGCAGAGTACAACCTCAGCAAAGCGGATTATTTCCTCACCGCTGCTATATCGGTAATCTTATTTACATTTGGACGAGGAACTTTACAGCAACGATTCTGGAAATTTGTCTAAAACAGTTACAGACATGTACGTGTTGCTTTCTTCGGGGGAATACCGTGTGGTGCACTATGAGTGAAGCCAACAAGACTCATGAAGGGTTTTACTTGAGACTTGCTTATACTCGATACCGTTCCTTGAAGAGTTTCAACAGCATCTGCTTTTACTGAGCACTTTCTTGCATTCTTTCCTAAATCGAACGTTTGCAAATCCGTAAATCAACGGATTAACAGCATGGTTAGTGTAAAATATGGAAGATAAATCGTGACTTAAGTTCAACGTGGCCGAAGTGATATAAGAACCACAATTCGAAGCCATTTCCAAGACGGTAAAAATCCAAAATGGCAGCCACATGAGCAGGAATACCACACTGGTGATGAATAACATCCTGGTCGTCTTACGCTGCAGAGAAGCGGCACCAACCCTTTGAGGGGCGTGCCCTTCAACTCTTTGGTTAAGGCTTTTGTTTCCAGTTGCACCAAATCGGCATCTCTCTAACGCAGTGCCTTTGGTCAAGAGATCCCGTCCATGTGACGGACCCTGACCGGTTGAGTTTCGGTTGACTGCTTTGCCCTTCGCAGCCAGTTTTGGAGATGTTAAGTTTAGGGCGCTGATTGCCGGCACAACTCCGTCGTCAGCTGGAATTTGTAATTCACTATGCCCTTGGGAAACTGCCGCCGTTGGGCGTGTCAGCATTGCGATGTCCCGCCTAGAATCATCCTGTTGTCCGATACCAACTCTGACGTGCCTCCGGATGGTCGCGAAAACCTTCCCGTAGCAGATAGCGATTACCATCAAAGCTGCCCCAAAACTCAACATCGAAATAACATCATTGGATATATGTTGACAAGACGCTGCAAATTGTGTCGCAGACAATTTTTCCAAGAATTCGGGCACATTAATGATCATTGCTAGTCCCGCGAAAACAAAAGCCGCCATCTTAGCCCGCCAAGGGGTAAAAAAACGCCGATGTGGATGACGGCAGACACAATCGTAGCGGTCTGCTGCGATCACCGTAGTAATTGCCACAGAAACAGAGACAACAGTTACTTGAAACGGCCTGCTTTTGTCATAGACCTGTTGGACTTCGACTTTAGCCAAAAGCAGGAGTATAACTACAATTGTAAACAATCTGAGTACGCAGACAGAAAGATCGGCCCAGGCTAAGGCCATGATCAAGATGTGGGTGCTGGTCCTACGGATTTTAATCCAGTAGACACGGAGGATAAGACAGTTACCAGGCACGCCGACCAGCACGACAATAATGCTGATCACCAGTTCCGTGATGGGCAGGAAAGTGTCGAGGGTGTCGGTGGCGTTCTGAAGCTCGCCGGTGAAATTCGATGATGGAATATTTTCCATTGTCTTGATTTGTTTCAAATTGGCGGCGTTAGTAAAGTCTTACATTCAAGTGCAAAAGCCAGAATTGAAAAATAAAGACCACAATCAACAGGTTACAGATGTATACGAGTTTAATCTCAAATGATCCACGTTAGCAATGCTTTCAATGTGTGATCCAACATTCGAAAACCGATTCCCACTGCTACCAAGCTCGTAAAGGTTAATCAAGGCTTATTTCATTGCCGCTACCAATTCTCAAGAGTAGCACGGACAGGTAACCATGGTAGCAGAACAATACTACTCGCCCTTTGCATTTAATGAGCGAGGAATTTAATTACGCAAACGGACGAATTATTCAGTATGCAGAAGGTAATGAGCTTCGGGTCTAGACAAATTTCGGGAGCCTATGAGAAATTGGAGGTGATACGAAGTTGTAGCTGTGAGGCTGCACAAGTCGTCAAGAAATAACTGCACAAGAGGAAAGTCGCATGTGGACAAGTTTTCCGATGTTAAATTTAACCGCACTTATCTATAACACCCAATCATGAGGGAAATAACGATGCTGATTTCGATATCCTTTTTTTTTCGTTAAAGAAGTCTACATGTCCACATTCCGACTCAAAAATATGCAAAATGCAGTGGACCAAATCTGAAATCCGCATACCATGTAAAATTGTAGTATTGGAAATAATTTTTCACCGAATCACAGGCATTATAGCTTTAACCAAACCTTCGGAACTTTGGCACGGTCACACTAGGCTAGGTGACTTTAAGCTTTGCATAGGATTCCCGACCCTAATCTCAGGATTGGCCCTTAAATTGACTAGACTCAGGACGACCAAACCTCTAAACTTGGCCTGCGTACCCCTTTTATAGCTTCGCGAGCCGGCCACTTCTGAAACTACGCCTGCGCGCGCGCGTTACATGTGACCAGCAGGGACTTCCGTTAACCAATCGCCATCCTATGCGCAAGACGGAGCC